CAGCGCCAGCGCTGGCAGCCTGCTCTTCTTGTGCAGGCGCCGCTGCCTGCCAAGGCTCTACCTCCTCGGAGCCGCCGGTGGTTGTCACCGCCTGTTCAGCACCGCACCTGCTGGCAGCTGCAAGTGATCACCCGCAACATGCACCGGCGAACTACGCCGCAAAATGGCATGCGAGAACTTCGTCGGAAACATGTTCATCCTCACATGCCTGCATGTGCTACACAACATCCCGCTGAATGCTTGCAATGTCTCGCCAGAAAGAAGTAGCAACTTCGCACCTGCCCGCAGCTACCGCTGATCACCCGCAACGGTTTCCAACAATTAAACCCGCTGCAAGTGATCACCTGAAAAACCCTCACTATCCCTGCAGAAGCATGGAAGTTCCGCAACAACCCCGCAACTGCCTCCAGCTGCAGCTGATCACCCGCAATAAGCCATCAAAATGAACGCAAGTCCAGCGTCAACGCCGTGTTTGCATGTGCATAGTTCAAGGCAGACATGCATACGGATGAATATGCAGACATATGCAGCTTTGCCTGCAATTGGGAATGCATGCCTATCTTGAAGGGAACACTAGAAATCGAACACCTGCCCAGCAAACAGTCGTCATCGTCTGAATGGCTTGGCAAGGCACTGCTGCATCAGCTCTCCTTGCCGCAGCTGCTCGTTCAGCGCAGGCCCAGTAAGTTTGTCTTCCTGCGGGGTTGTCAGGCATCTCAGCTCTTTCTACTGGGTGCCAACAACCATACCTTGCCAGCACCAGTACCAGCCCTGTAGCGTGTGCCGACCGGGCAAATAACCCTTTCCAGCCTCTGGCACCACTGACGTGCCCTCCTTCTCCGCCAGCGATTTCAACACTGCACTGTCAGGGCAGAAGGCGAGGCCTTCCCTGGCGTCCCACGTTGCATCAAGTTTGGAACAGCAAAGAAGAAGAATAGTCGGGAGCATTACTTAGCTGCACTCCAGCCTCAGCACAGCAGCAGCTGCTTCAGGGCAGCCCATTTCCTGGCACGTCACTGAGCCGCAGAACGTGTTCAACCAGCAATGGCTGTTGCAACTGGCCTTGAACTCCTTGTACTGTTGGAGGATGGCAAGGCCAGGATCTGGAGCCTTGGATTACACATGTGATCTACGACAGATACGACAGCTCCAGATAGGTGACCCCCTTCCTTCTGCCCTCGTGTTGGATTGGCATCTGAGAAGCAGCATCAGCACCAGCGCCAGCGCTGGCGGCCTGCTCTTCTTGTGCAGGCGCCGCTGCCTGCCAAGGCTCTACCTCCTCGGAGCCGCCGGTGGTTGTCACCGCCTGTTCAGCACCGCACCTGCTGGCAGCTGCAAGTGATCACCCGCCCAATGCCCGCAAGTCCCGCATCGATTCATATGCATGTCTATACATCACAACCTACATTTGCTCATCTACGCACATAGACATACATATATATATATCCACCGTATACATTTATCTATCTTACATACATAGATGGATACATGGATACATAGATACATGCTATGCATATTCTGCGTATGTGCGTGTTCTTCGCCAGAACGGAATGGTGAGAACTCGAACACCTGCCTAAGAGACAGTCGTCATGGTCTGAATGGCATGCCAAGGGACTGTTGCAGTATCATCTCTCTTCGCCGCAGCTGCTCCATCAGCGCAGCCCCGGTGAGTTCGACTTCCTTCAGATGGTAAGCCATCTCAGGTCTTTCTTAGGGGGCCCAAGGATAAACAGCCTGTACCAGTAGTGGATGTCAGCCAGGAACCAACACCTTCCTGCCTCTGGCACTGCCGATATGCCCTCCTTCTCCGCCAGCGATTTCAACACCGCACTGTCAGGGCAAAAGCGGAGGCCCTGCCTGGCGTTCCACGTTGTATCAAGTTTGCGTTAGTACAGGCCCGGAGCATTTCAAAGCTGCACTCTGACCTCAGCACAGCAGCAGCTGCAACAGGGCAGCCTCTTGCCTGGCACGTCACTTCAAGGCGCAACATGTTTGCAACCAGCCCTGGCTTTTACAGCTGGCCTTGAACTCCTCGTAGTGCTGGAAGATGGCCAGAGCAGCATTGGCACCAGCGGCAGCACTTGCTGGGGCAGAAAGGGCTGCCGACGCTGCCTGCCAAGGCCCTGCGGAGGCAGAGCCGCTGGTTTTCGCACTCGGTTCTTCCGCTGCCATCTGCACACGATCTGCATAAGGCAGTTTGGCGGGAGCATGCTCATTGAGCTCCGACTCCATGGTTCCTGCATCTTTTGTCGCCGGCTCCTTCGGTAAAGGCTCAAGCTGGTCAGCCATGTCTCCTGCCGCTCTATCCTCCATGGCGGAAGCTTTTCAAATGCATGTCGCCACGTGGCGAGAGCGGAGAAGCAGCTGCGGATTCAAAGACAAGAAATCCAACGGCGCAGCCTGCAACCAAACAGTCCTACAGGCAAGTGTCCTGCCAAGTGTCTCAAACCCTTGATTTTCGGGAAACCCTCGTCCCTATAAACCCCTATAAGAAAATCCCAGCTTCCATATCATTCTTTTCCATTTGATTCTCCGTTACCGAACGGCGGTGATATGCCTTTTCACTCCTAAAGCCTAAACCCTAGTTTTCCATTTTCGTGTCCATCTGATTCTCAATTATTGGGGGATAATATCCCTAAACCCCCATGATTCCTCTCCCTTCACTGTCAACCATAAACCCTAAGCCCTAAACCCTAGGGGCTGGATGACGAGCAGAGTGCCCCGCTTGACATGCAAAAAGCGCGCTAAGCGGGCGGCCTGGAGCCTGCCCAGCGCTTGTCGATTCAGCCGCTTCATTACCAAGTCCTGGATTCTAGTCCAAAGCGAGCGCTTCTTGCAACAAGAAAACATCCTCAAGCAGCATCTGTGGCCGCAGCATCTCGGTAGCTCAGCGTGGCAAAGCTCCTCCGAACAATGCGAGCTACATGCAAGTCAACGAATCTGGCCGACTCATAAGATGCCCCCATCGCTCCAGGCACTGATAGCGAGATTTGCAGGGCTGAACTCTTCCATCTGAGAGAAGAGTTGGTGACAAATGCCAGCCTTAACTGCCATGGTGGTGGTTGGTTTCAGCCACAGCGGAGAAATGATCATGTGGCAGCATTGATCTAAACCCTTGTTGATGTAAGGCCATGGGCAAGCATTCGGTTGTCACGGTGGTTCAGCCTCATGCGCTGAATCCACGGGGCAGCCCAATGTTCGGCAGCGGGCTATCTGACGGCCTAGCTAACTAGAATGAGGCTTCTTGCCGCACGTTCCACTACATATACATATATAAGTATATGTATATATATATATACACAAACTCCGTGCAAGGCGGAATATTGGTCACCAATAAAGCTTCTACGGTACTTGTAGCGGATGCAGACCATCCAGGACACTTGGTAGTTTCCAAGAATAAGGTGACCGCGATTTAGACCCCAAATACTATATTATTCCTTATTATAGAGACCCCAAAAGATGCTCCCTAATTTTGGGAAACACCCACTTCAAGGCTGCAGCACGGCCAAGGACCAGCTCAGATCGGTCAGCGCCTTGCCGAAAAGTTCAGGCATCGCCCCAAGGGCCATCTGGAGGTTACCGAAAGGTAGGGTCCCATTTTGGGGGCCTGCCTGCTAAGGAGCCCACTGTATATTGGGAGAAAATTTTGGAAACCCCAACATGGATGAACAAACATCGATATTTCTTTGCGGCCCTCTTTGCGCAATTCGTGCGTCGGGCTTTGAACCTGACTCCAGCAACCTGCGGCCCTATCAGGAGCGGCGCCGTAGGCGGGCTATGTACATAGGGCCGTAAGGCGTTCGATCAGGCAGGATGAGCACCTCAAAATGTTCCAGCACTGTCCATCCACGCAATTTCAAGAGGTTCTAGCCGCTGCTAAAGACTGTTGGCATCGTGTGGCAAACACCAAAGGCCCCGACCCCGCACCTGGTGACGTCTGCCCCCTGCAGCAGCTGCGAAGTCTGCTCAGCGAACTCCTCCACTTCGAAGTCCTGTCCAAACTTCTTCAGAAACTTGGACACCACTCCTAAGCAGGACGTCAGCATGCAATGCGCAGCACATCTACAGCCTAGGCTGCTGCATGTGGCTGCTTTACTGCCACAGCTCAGGTCGATGCCGTCATTCTCAGCTTCCGCCAACGCACAAGTGACATACAGAACCAGGCCCCCAGGCTTCACCAGCACAGCAGCTGCACGCAGAAGCTCCTCAAACAAAAAAGCAGAGCCCGGGAACACAGCCTAAGAACTTAGAGCCCTCAGAATTCTGTCCCCTTTACGGACATGATAATGCAAGCATGGCTCCAGTTGTCTCTCTGCATTGGCCTTGACTGCTCCGGCAGCCCAATGAGCAAGGGCTGACTGTCCTTGCTGCACCAAATGGCGGTCCTCGCAGCAAAGGCCACAAAAAAGCAGCGCGTGACCAGCGCTTGACCTTGAAAAGAAACACCGAATGATCCCCAGCCCTTTTGTTTTGATAAGCACCCCACCCCCCAACTATCAATACCCCCTAACATGCGGTCGTCATATTGTGGGGGAACTTTATGTTATCAAAAACATTGAGGGCTTAACATGAGCGGGGAAATAAAAACATGGAAGCGCTGCAAGGCCCCTGGGTCCCTAGAAACAAGAAAACATGCTTCTGCTGGTCTCTCCAAGATGGCACGCCCTTAGGACCCATGAGCTACACATGGATGAAGGGTTCTTGGGGAAATTAGGAGCAGGTGGGGTGAAACTCCCGGCTGTCTTTCAACCAAGCTTCCGAGGTGCAGGGCGCATCCACGAGGACCCTATCAAAGGGGGCCAGCCGTTGCAAAGGTACTGGGATGGATCCAGTCGCGGCATCCACATTCACCAGGCTTACACATCCGGAAGCACCTGCAAATGCCAAGACATTTGCGTCGCCGCCCCTGACAACTCTAGTCCTCGTACTAAGGCCCAAGAGCAAGTATCTTGCAAAGCAGAGATCCGTTGTGAGCCTGCTGCCAGCATCTCAGGCGGCATGAAGGAGGAGACCACCTTCCTGGGCTGGGGGGGTTCTCCGAACCAGGTCTTCTCTCTTGTCCTCTTCGCGTCTGTCCGGCATATCTAACTTTGACACACAAACATGCACTGACATAGCTCCATCGCCTCACGCATGGAAACAAAGAAAAAAGCTTCCTTTTCCAAGCAACCCAGCTTCTGCAGCCTTGCTAAGCGAGGGCGCGACATTTCATTGCAGATCAGCTTTCCAGAAGAGTCTCCTCCTTCAGGGGCCAACCATGTGTGGGCAGTTGTGTAGGAGATTTGGAATTCTGACACTTTCGCCGAGGTGACAGACTCGAACCTCAAAGCTTTTCCTGCTGCAGAGCGGCCAGCGAAAAGTAGCGATGCCAGCATCAGCGACTTGCCCCCAGGAGCTGCGCAAAGGTCCAAAACAGACGCCCCTGGAGCAGGATCCAGCAATGTTGCGGCCACGGCAGAGGCACCATCCAAGAAGTAGCCTCAGTCAGTGTGCACATTGCTGGCGAATCACTTGGGAATCTAGCCGCGGGTCACATTTCCCAAGGCGACATGAAAATCAAGACGTACTCTGCTAGGTCAAGCGGCATGGCAGGAGCTCAGATGGAGCTGCCGAAGCCTCTCCAGAAGCCAGCTCCTTGCCCGCAAGCAGCCCGTCACCATCCTGCAAATGAACCACATGTACAACGTGGAAACAACTTTCCCAGCGCCACCATGAAAAATAGAGCAATCTGTAGGGTCCTGGTCAGCCTCTGCATCGTTGGAACAGGAGGACCCATCTGCACGCACAAACACGAAAGGGATCCCCTCGTGAGGCTGCAGTTTTTGCAGCTGCACCAGTTCCTCTCAGCAAGTTTGGTAGGTTGATGATGCATCCCAGCCATCCATGCACGCATGCGCAATCCGCTGGCAGACCCCTCGTGCAGTCCTCCCGCTGCGGTGTTGGCAAGAAGGGGTTCAGCAGCGCCACATGCTGGACGGGCTGCCGCAGCGCTCGGAGAAGTTGGGGCCAACGCTCCTGCTGGTGGCCAAGAGCGCATCAAACCAAGTGCTTCAGAGAGTATCTCTTGAAGAGGCTTAGTCCCCTGCGCGAGTCTGACATTACTTGGACATGGTTCTGTCCTTGCCGAAAGCTTTGGCATGAGTTGCCTGCCATCCAGACTCCCCGCGCAGGGACATGGCGCATCTTGTGGCTAGCTATCCAGGGGCAACGATTTTGCAGGCAAGACTTGCACGCTTGGGCTGAGACTGTTAGGCCATGATGGAATCTGATAGACGGCCTTGAGGACATAAAGCTGAGATAGCAAGTTCTCCAGGAAAGCTACCCCGCACACCCCTGCAACCATGCACTATGAGCGCTGACGCCATTGCATGAATCCATGCTCGCAGCTGCGTTACGAGTTGAGGGATGGGGCATAGCTGGAATGTTGACAAAAATCCTGCTTCATGGATGTCAAACTCTCTGGCTGGACTGCACAGGCTCTTGTTGAATCAAGACCTCTGTCTAAAAAGCTGCACTCTTGAGCCCAAACATTTACCGTGATGTAAGAGTAGACTTTAGCCCAGCTGCTTCCTTCCTAGCAAGAAGTCCGCGGCTGGTGACATTGTGCCCAGGTGCCTGCGCATCCAGGCGGGAAAGGTGGCGGAAGACATCTGCCAGCAGGGCCAGGAATCGGCTTGCCCGGCCTTGCTATGAGCCGTAGGAAGTAGGGATTGTAGAGGGAGAACGGAAAAGAAAATGGAAGCTACTACATTATGACGAGGTATAAAAAAAATTGGATCAAGAACAATACTGGTCAACTCAGGCATAAGCAAAGATTCTACCATGTAGTCACCAACCACTCCCCTCATTGCTCCCCTCGCCCTTTTGGGGATCCACTATGGGTATGGGGACAAGTGTAGTTCAAAGGCAAGTAAATGGAGGTGCCAAAATCGAAGTTCACAGTCTCAAGGCCTTTTTCCTGGGTTGCTGTTGAAGGACTCAAAGTAAGCGAGCAGATTATGGGTATATAGTATACAATAAGATGTTAGTATTATAGTAAGCTAATTTTCTTCCTAAACAGCAACCCAGTCGCTAGCCAAGGGGGAACCTGGAGCTTGTCCTTCGTTTCCATCTTCAGGCACGCAGCCGCTGCTCGGACTCTCCATTTAGTCAACACCAACTCACAGGCAGCGCCTGCCTTTTCGATATATGGATATAAATAAATATGTATATATATATATATACACACTTGCATAGAAGGCTCAGCGATATTACCCAAATGATTTTCGATAATGGAGAATCAAGTTCAAAATAATCATTTACTTCGAGCATCCCCACCCTAAAGCCGTTATTGCACGAGAAGTGTAACGTTTCCCTGCCCCCCCTCAA